CTCATTTTTAACCACACATTATTCAATAAAATAATATTTTACATCGCATTAATAACTTTTTATTCTTTTTCGACGACACATTCTCCGTCAATCTACTATTCCAAAATACATTTTTCCAAAATAATGTGGCTCAAATACATCCTAAATACGGAAAAAATAAACAAAACTTGCAATAATTAAACATATTCTAAACTGTACAACATGCATATAATCGAAATCCCTAGAATTGGATCGAAGTCAATTGAGCTAATGGTAGGCGACAATACGTACCTTTCCAGCAATTCGCATCCGACATGAAGATTAGCACCTTGGTAAATATTACAATTCAAATTTTAATCTAAGTCAAAATCAACAATTAATTTTAATCATATATGAGATCCACCACTTTTCAATTACATATTTTATGAACTTTTATTAAAATTTACTAAAAATTTAATTTTAATCTCATCAAATCGGAGCTATATAACATTGCAGGCTGAATATTTAAAATTTAAGGGAAAAGTGGGAATTGCCTTGCAGTTTCATTGTCCCTGGGCCTCATTGTGGCGTTGACAAATTATCACGCGGCTCATTGTGGCGTTGACATTTTTGATGAGCTCGTTTTGGAGATTTGTGCTTTAAAGTAATAAAAAATATTTTGCTCATTTGACTACAAGGAAAGAGAGCTTTTTTTTTTTTATGTGATAGACTAGTCTTTATTGCTTGGGTTAAGATATTTTGAAGGTAAATTATTGCATTAAATTCGTTGAATTTTAGTGAATTACATTTTGTATTGTACACAAACTAAATTAAAGAAACTTTGTCAAGAGCATTTCCAAAGGTAAAGCATTTATGGAATAGAAGAAACGGTATTGACATTTCTCAACAAGGAAAATAAATCTGAACTTAAATATTGACATAAAAGTTATCCAGAAAATAACCCGGGTAATAGTTCATCATAAAAAATTACAGTCTCAACATCAAATGCTTCAATTGCACTTTTAATTTCTGCAGCATTGCCTGATCCTATGCATGTCCTCGGATCTGGCGTTGCAAGTCTGCACCAAATACAATGGAATACCACAAATTCACACACTCTTTGAAATTTCATTTATCGTGTGCAACATAAAATATAATCCACAAAACAACAAATGAAAGAATATTTAACATATCGTTCATGATCCACGGGTTAATAATGAAATAATATGTGTACAAAAAAAAAAAATTGGTGGCTGAAAGTCTGCAATTCGATGTAAGACAAGACAGTTGCAGTCGAGGCTTGTTAGTGGTCATGTTTGAACTGGTGTAGTTTGTATTTAAACTGCAAATCTGGCTTCCACCATTGATGAATTCCATGTGCTTCCTTGAAATTTTTTGAGGGGCTCAAATTCGTCGTTAGATACGCAGAAGGAATAAGATGGACTGGATCGGAATCATTTCCATAAAGCAACTGATCTGTAATGGTATCATTTTCATAGATTATGTGAAATCAAATGAGAATATCGCGGTCCACTTAATAAAGGTTTACCAAGAGATCAAGTACGTTGCATATCGAAAGAAATGGGATTAAAGTCTACTACATAAGGATCTTTATAATGGTAACTCCCAGGATCTTGATTCAAGTTGACAACTAAGTTATGAAAATTCAATGAAACACTTGGGAAAATATTTCCTAACTCATTTCTATAATAATTAAAGTGCTTTCAGTAGAATGTTAAGGTTAAGATATACTTACTAACTCATTTCTATAATAATTAAAGTGCTTTCAGGAGAATGTTAAGGTTAAGATATACTTTTAATTATTCATATATCTTGATTAAGTCAAGTGGAGTATGGCAGAAAACTCTTAATAGGAAGTCACCTATGTAAGTGTGAGGTTGAGTCGCCTCAATGAAAATTGTTCAAAGGCTGAAATTTTCTAGACACTTATGAAACACAAGAGTGGTTTACGGCCAAAATGAACCAAGTCATGAGAACCATGAACTATTTAAGAAATACATCTATGTGAGTATTATTATCTTAGTTTACATCAACAATCGTATGGTTCAAGACATCACGTTCACCAATTAACCAAGTAAATCCGATAGTATTTCACAAAGGAAGGTTCAAGGCCAGGAGTTACCTTAGCAACTTCCCAAATGCAGTGCTTTTCTGCTCTCTCTCTCTCTCTCTCTCTCTCTCTCTCTCTCTCTCACACACACACACACACAACAATGCATCATATTTCTGTATAACATGAGCATATTCGAATTTTCATTCACGTGAGAGATTGTTAGAATTTGATTTAGAGGATGAAATTAAGTATGTAAAAGTAACTTTTGTGTCAATTTCGACCAAATATTCTAACTTGATCCGATAGCCAAATTATGAATATAAATAGATTAACTTGTTCTACTCGTCGAGTAGATCGTTTGATATATTTGAAATCTCAAAACTAATTCTGGATAAATGAGAAATCGTAGTCCAATGTTGGATAGGAAAGAGGATGCACGAGCTGAAAAATGACTATCTCTATCGCTCGAGCGACAGGCTAGCGAGAGAAGTTTTGACAAAAATGTGTCACGTCGCTCGAGCGAGAGGCCGTAACAGTAAATGCTGCGACCTATGACAAATGTTGATGAGTTTGAGGCGCGGCATTTCACTCACAACATTTCCTCTTCTATATAAAGGGCCCTTTGGATGTCCGTATGCATCCCAAATCATTTGCATTGAGCATAACATTAAAAAATCTTACAAAACACTTTCCAAAAGTCATTCAAAAACCCTTTTTTGTGTAGAGAGACAATATTGTTTTAAGTTCGTTGTTGCTTGTAGTTGGTATCCGTTGCTTCTTGGGAGACAAGTGTCGTAGTTCGTTAGCACTATTGTGTGGCAATATTATTTTAAGGAGAAAGTGTTTTCACTTGTCTCGGATTTCGTTTTCCTTTTGTTTTCTTCTTTTTACTTTCTTTCTTTATAGTTTAATTACGTTCTTGCGAATTAAACTAAAATAATTCATTGTCTCGAACAAACATTTACATATTTTACCGTACATCCTCCAACAAAATCTACTAAAATTTTGATTTTAATCCTCACCAAACAGGAGCTATATAAAATTGCCGGCTGAATTGTCATTGGGGCTGACTCAGAAATTGGGAATTGCCTTGCGGTTTCATTGTCATTGGGGCTGACTCAGAAATTCAGCAATTGAAAAATTATCACACGGCTCATTGTGGCGTTGACATTTTTGATGAGCTCGTTTTGGGGATTTGTGCTTTAAAGAACATATTTTACACATTTGACTAAAAGGAAAGAGAGCTTTTTTTTTTGTGATAGACTAGTCTTTATTGCTCGGGTTAAGATATTTTGAAGGTAAATTATTGCATTAAATTCGTTGAATTTTAGTGAATTACATTTTGTCTTGTACATAAACTAAATTAAAGAAACTTTGTCAAGAGCATTTCCAAAGGTAAAGTATTTATGAAATAGAAGAAACGGTATTGAAATTTCTCAACAAGGAAAATAAATCTGAACTTAAATATTGACACAAAAGTTATCGAGAAAATAAACCGGGTAATAGTTCATCATCAAAAATTACAGTCTCAACATCAAATGCTTCAATTGCACTTTTAATTTCTGCAACATTGCCTGATATCTGGCGTTGCAAGTCTGCACCAAATACAATGGAATACCACAAATTCACACTCTTTGAAATTTCATTTATCGTGTGCAACATAAAATATAATCCACAAAACAACAAATGAAATAATATTTAATATATTGTTCATGATTCACTGGTTAATAATGAAATAATATGTGTGCAAAAAAATAAAATAAAATAAGTGGCTGAAGTTTGAAATTCGATGTAACACAACAGTTGCAGTCGAGGCTTGTTAGTGGTCATGTTTGAACTGGTGTAGTTTGTATTTAAACTGCAAATCTTGCTTCCACCATTGATGAATTCCATGGGCTTCCTTGAAATTTTTTGAGGGGCTCAAATTCGTCATTAGATACGCAGAAGGAATAAGATGGACTGGTTCGGAATCATTTCCACGTGCAGCCGTGACGATGCTCCCTATCGAATGCTGAGTTGCAAGCATTCCAATTTTTCCAGCACCCATTTTCTCCATATTCTCCCTGTGTTCAAAGTAACCTACATATTCGGAACATATAGGATCAGACGGATTTAGAAATAAGTACGGAACCCAAGAAGATAACACGATAAACGGATCGTCTTGTGGAGCCTTTGGTTTATGAGCACCGTTGAAAGCAGTAGCAAGTCCTGCAGTGAGAACACTATTTGCAAACCTCACTCCATGCTTCAGCTTCTCGTTTTTTATTCTTTCTATTGGAGGAGACATGAATGGTGGATTGAAGAGATAAGTTTCGATATGAATACAATTCTTGACCATATTTCTCCCTATTAGTAGTGCTATGGATGAACCTAGTGAATGTCCTGCTAACCATACGTTCCCTAGTCCGGCGTTGTAGACAATGTTCTGGGTACCTTCCATTCCAACCCGAAAACGGGAACTCTTTTGAAGATTATTGATAATGCAGTGAACATCTAGCTTGAAATCCTGTGACCTGTTGCCCGGTTTGTTGATTGTGCCTCGGAAGGCTATCACGTATTTTGGGGGATTTTGGCCGCCGGGGTAGTTGGGATGTGGAGAGTGGAATTTGAATTCATAAATGGCACCGAAGAATGAATGGTCGTCCTCATCCACTAGAACTTGGTTCAACACGAAATCGAAGAATTCCCACCATGGAGGAGCAAGGGCTTGAGGGCCTAGGCGGTTTTGCTGGCGGTCACGTTCAAGTATGTAGACGCCCTGAACAAGGCTTGCGGCAATGGACTTCCGCTGATGCGAGTTATTCCTGAGAACACAACCATGAAAGTTGTCGAATTTACATTGAAATATGTACAATTGATAACATGTGCAGTGCAATGCAGAAATTAAAATTTCCAATCATAGAAGTAAAAATGAACTCACCAATCAATAGTTTTCAGGTATGATGGTCCAGTAAGGCTAAAAATTTCCCTCTCAGAGGCCATTTAGTCCCCAGGATTCCAAATTATGATACCCCTGAGAATATTGTCCATTTAATATGGGCCGTTACTTTTTTATTTGAGTATATGACAAGGAAGAAAAGGCCAAGATCTTCAACTGTGGAAGGGAATCAATTCTGAGCTAAGAAGACAAACTCTTCTATGATTCTCATGAAGTTAGATTCTGACTTGGGATGTGAACTAAAAGCATACTTAACACCTTCAAGTAGGAAACGAAGTGGTGTATGACACTGATGAGCACTAACTTCATACTTAACACTTTCAAGATGTGGCGGAGTCAGACATTCTTCATTGTGCGATAAAAATTTACAAAAAAATTCAATCAATATAACATTAGTGATTTAATTCAATACATTACTATAAACATTGCCTACTCGTTTTTATACTTTGAAATTATCGTATAATTATATCGTTATCATTATTTTCAAGCAGATCGTACTTAATATATACAATTAAACTATCATTTAAAAGTTGAATCTTCAATCTAATCGTGTGGTTCAAAACATTGTTTGAGGGTCTTGAGAAGTCCGGCGTTGAAGTGGAGAAAACGCGTGGTGGGCCGTAGGTGTCGGCGCAGATTAACTTAGTACGAGAATGCTATTATTTGGTAGAAAATGCAAATCTAGATATTGAGAGAAGCATGAGATTCCGAGCTTAAGAGAAGTTGTGATGCAGAAAATGGAAAGAATAAAATAGTGCAAATAAGGAAAAAGTAAAAACAAAATTCAAAACTTTCTCAGAATCTCCTTTTTCCAAATAAACGTAAGCATAAGAACTAGATTAATTACCAAAAGATTTCGGATCCGTTACCCGAATTCCTTTTCACCACTTGAATCTATTCATTTAGGAGAACAATTAATAGTAATTCAAAAGAACAAATATTACCGAACATGTAAAACAGAGAACTCAATTATTAGTCTATGAAAACAGTTACTGTACAAAATGTAACCACTGTATACTCATGAAAATTCGAAACAGCAAAAAAAACAAAATCAAAATTCGGACAAATATTTCAAACTTTCTATAATTTTCACAAGCAACAGATAATTGATACCTCAAAGAACAAGTGCTGTCCTCTACACAGTAAATTGCTGGAGTTATTCAACCCTTCTTTACATGTAAATGTTCAACCGTGTACAGTGTATGTATATGCAAAGAGAGGAGGAGGAGAAGCAGCAGCAGCAGCTTCTTGGAAGCTTGGATTTTTTCAAAAATTATAAACAAGTGGGCGCAATAGTTTTATTGACGACGAGTAAAATACTTAAAGTCAATGACGTTTACTCATTAAATTCGGAAAAATTAAACGAAACTTGCAATAATTAAACTTATTCTAAACTGTACAATATGCATATAAAACCATAAGATGGCATCGAAGTCAATTGAGGACAATTCGTAACTTTCCCGCAATCCGCAACGTAACTTTCCAGCAATCGGCAAAGGAAAGATCATGCAAAAAATTGCCGGCTGAATATTTAGCCCTGTTTGGTGGCCATTTTTGGGAAAAATATTACTTTGAATGCTGAATTTTTAGAGAATTTATGGTTAAAAAGTAAGAAAAAAATTTGAATTTAAGTGAAGAATATTTTATTGTGTAAATATTTAATTAAAAATGAATTTGTAGAAAAAAAGAATTTTAAAATAATGGAAGACATGGGAACATAAAATTTGGGGGAAAATTAGGAATTTCCTTGCAGTTTCATTGTCCCAGGGGCAGGCTCAAGAATTGAAAATTATCACGCGGCTTCATCGTGCATGGTGGGGTCGACATTTTTTACGAGCTCGTTTTAGGAATTTGTGCTTTAATTTAATAAAAACATATTTTCCTCGTTTGACTAAAAGGAAATATGAGTTCTTTTTCGTGATAGATAATGCAGAGTGGGATGCACTGCTCATTGTTCGGACCCTGCAGTTTGACTTTGCTCTAGCTCGTTTAATTGGTTTAAATTTTATGACAAATGTCAAGTTCGAGAAATTTAATTTCCTGTTTGATACAAAAGTGAAAATAGAGTTCGAATTTCAAAGTACAACCACTTTAAACTTTTTTTTTTTTTTGCTAATTTCATGAAAAATGCATTCATATGGGGTATTTGAGTTTTTATTTTCCAGCTTACATAGAATTTAAAAGTATTTCCACATTTGTCTATCAAACGAACCCTTAATTTCAAATTGTTTTCTTTTTGGTACGAGTGATGCTATTTAGTTTCATTGGAGTTATAATTTTAGTATATGTGACATTAAATAACAAGTACAATTAAATGAGTTATTTAATTTTATCTTTCATTTAATTTATCAGCTAATACCTTATAGATTGATATTATAATTCTAGTAGGACTAAATAGCATTACTCTTTTGGTATATCGTAGCACTAATGTATTGGATAGGTGTTAGTTCGTGTTACTTTTTTCCTCATTTGGAATATAAGGAAGCTCATATTCTTACTTTCTTCGTTTCTTATGTCCAAGCTTTTATGGAGTTAATACCCTAAATAGTCACCGAACTTTGCCAAAAGTTCTCAGGAGGTCACCGAACTTCAAAACTTCCCTAATTAATCACTGAACTTTACCGAAAGTTCCCATGAGGTAACTGAACTTCCAAACTACCCTAAATAGTCACTGAACTTTACTAAAACTTCCTAACAAGTCACCGAACTTTGCAAATTGTGACCCAATGCATCAATAATTTAGTGACCCCCTATGATTTTTTTGCAAAGTTGAGTAACTATTTAGGGTAGTTTCAAAGTTCAGCGACCTCTTAGCAACTTTTTGCGAAGTTCAGTGACTAATTAGGGAGGTTTTGAAGTTAAGTGAACTCCTGAGAACTTTTATCAAAGTTTAGTGACTATTTAGGGTTTTAACCCGGCTTTTATGTGGTGGGTTGATTGTAATTTACTTTTTATCTTTTAGGATTTAGTCTACAATTAGGACACACAAATTTGCATTTTTACTCAAAAAGAAAGAAAAAGAAAATGGTGGCTTCTCAACTTGGAACTGTTGAGGTTTCAAAAAATGAGTTTCCCATTTAACTCATATTTGATACACATTCTTTCAAAATACATTATTTCATGTCTCATTTTCAGCCACACACTTTTCAATAAAATAATATTTTCTATCACATCAATAACTTTTTCTTACTTTTTAACCACATATTTTTCATCATATCACTATTTAAAATACATTTTTCATCAATAATATCCATCAAACACACCATATTATGGCTCCTGGATTCGTCGTCCTTATTAGGTGCAATGGCAAATGCCTTCATCAGTATGCCTTTTGTCCTCCAAAGATAGGTTGATTTCTATTTCACGCAAATTAAAAACAAATTAATTAATATAATTGAAACAATACATTTTACTCATATATTTTTTAATATATCCCTACATCAAAATTTTTTTTTTTTTGTTAATTTCATGAAAAATGCATTCATATGGGGTATTTGAGTTTTTATTTTCCAGCTTACATAGAATTTAAAAGTATTTCCACATTTGTCAATCAAATGGACCTTTAGTTTCAAATTGTTTTCTTTTTGGTACGAGTGATGCTATTTAGTTTCATTGGAGTTATAATTTTAATATATGTGACATTAAATAACAAGTACAATTAAATGAGTCATTTAATTTTACCTTTCATTTAATTTATCAGCTAATACCATATAGATTGATATTATAATTCTAGTAGGACTAAATAGCATTACTCTTTTGGTATATCGTAGCACTAATGTATTGGATAGGTGTTAGTTCGTGTTACTTTATTCCACATTTGGGATATAAGGAAGCTCATATTCTTATGTCTAGGCTTTTATGGAGTTAATACCCTACATAGTCACCGAACTTTGCCAAAAGTTCTCAGGAGGTCACCGAACTTCAAAACTTCCCTAATTAGTCACTGAACTTTGCAAAAAGTTCCTAGTAGGTCACTGAACTTTGCTAAAACTTCCTAACAGGTCACCGAACTTTGCAAATTGTGACCCAATGCATCAATGATTTAGTGACCCCCTATGAATTTTTTGTAAAGTTGAGTGACTATTTAGGGTAGTTTCGAAGTTCGATGACCTCCTAGGAACTTTTTGCGAAGTTCAGTGACTAATTAGGGAGATTTTGAAGTTAAGTGACCTCCTAGAAACTTTTAGCAAAGTTTACTGACTATTTAGGGTTTTAACCGTCTTTTATGTGGTGGGTTGATTGTAATTTACTTTTTTCCTTTTAGGATTTAGTCTACAATTAGGACACACAAATTTGCATTTTTACTCAAAAAGAAAGAAAAAGAAAATGGTGGCTTCTCAACTTGGGACTGTTGAGGTGTCAAAAAATGAGTTTCCCATTTAACTCATGTTTGATATACATTCTTTCAAAATACATTAATTCATGACTCATTTTTAGTCACACATTTTTCAATAAAATAATATTTTCCATCACATCAATAACTTTTTCTTACTTTTAACCACATATTTTCCATCATATCACTATTTAAAATACATTTTTTCATCAATAATATCCATCAAACACACCCTATTATGGCTCCTGGATTCGTCGTCCTTATTAGGTGCAATGGCAAATGCCTTAATCAGTATGCCTTTTGTCCTCCAAAGACAGGTTGATTTCTCTTTCACGCAAATTAAAAAAAAATTAATTAATATAATTGAAACAATACATTTTACTCATATATTTTTTTAATATATCCCTACATCAAATAATATTTGAATTTCAATAATTCATATTTGTTGATAACAAAACATATAAAATAGGGACATATTAAAAAACTATGAAATTTACTACACTCTCAATAAGGAACGTGAACTATAATTTGAGACAAAGAAATTTAAAAAAAGGCAAATCTATTTGGTTGGGTTTTGATACTCAATAAATTCCAGGAAATGATGTTAAACATTTTGGCTTATATTTCGCAGGCCTTGGCCGGTGAGTGAAATAACTATCAACATGATCGATTTATAAGCTCAACCCGAAAACAACTTGAGCCATTGGAAGC